GCGGTAGAACTCTTCTTTATACATCCATGGGTACAACTTCAGATAAAAATGAACACATAATGAAATATGACCCCCGGTTTGATGATTGACAGGTCACAGAACAATGGGAGCTATCTACCCTTACCCAGAATTTAAAGTAAGTCACACAGACTATCTCCTCTTTACTCTTCTCGCAGCAAGATGTCAGAACAAAGTGAAAAACAAACAATGGCATAACATATTATTAATATGTCGGGTAGTAATAAATGTATTTAGTATTTCTAAAAATCTCCTGAGGGAGAATTCCCCCAGACCCCCCTGCTCGGGTTGGATTTCCAGCATGTGTGCCTTTTTATATACAGTAGTTCAGCTTTGATTCCATCATCTCATTAAACCTTTTTTAAAAGCATACTTTAGTTCTGTAAAGAGATATAAGGGATATATGCATTGTACTTCACTTTTATTAATATTGTATGCTGAAAAGCGTATATTACAGCACGTTCTTTTGTTGAATAGATTTGAGTGCTTCAAAATGTTGGGTCGCGATGTATTGACCAAGTAAAAAGTGGGTCCCGAGGCCTGACCAGTTGAGAACCACTGGTTTAAACCATGTTACTGTCATTGGAAATATATCTTCTGCTATTTAAATGGAGTTTCTTTAAGATCCAGCGTTAGTGTTTCTTCTCTACGTTGGAAATCAGTTTAAAACGGCTTGAAGCCATTTAACTGTGACATGTTTTACCTGGCCTGGATAAGGCAGCCCTTTCCTGTGACAGCTGCTTCTGGTGGCAGGTCAATTGTTGTGAAGAGCACATCAGGAACCTTGAAGACACATAACAATTATTACTACTAATTCATGCTTTTTCCCACCATTTTAATAAATGGGACAACGATTTACACGATTTCTGCAATCAAGATGAATATATTTGACACCTTTTGCCGCCTGCACTGGTAGCAGTAAGTGAGCTGGGCTGGAAAGGGCATGTTGAGCTCATCATAGGGGATGTGGCAGAAACCACAACTCGGAGGAGACGGCTCCTCAAACCTGCAGAAAAACACACACCATCTGGAATCATCCTCAAAACTCAATTCAAGCTGTGCTGACATAAAGAGTATACAAACAAAGATTCAAATCAGTCAGTCATAAATCATATCAACCTGTGGTCGCCGATTACGATGTCGAGGCAGCCTTCGCGCATATATCGAGGATTCAGGATGGCTGCTGTGCCTGAGGCTGACAGGATACACACTTCCTCACTGGGTCAAGGCGAGGTAGAGGAAGAAAGGGAAGAAGATGAGAACACAACGGGAACTTGTTTAAAACTAACTGGGTTATAAAATGAACATCAACAATAAGCAAAGCAGGCAGAAAAAAGGAAATATTTGTACTACTACATACCAGATGCTAGTGCTCTCACTGTACCCCACCACAGCATGGCAACCAAGAGCTTTGGCATGAGATTTGATCTCCTGGCGTATCTCCTCCCACCAGGCGTCGCGAGTCTCTGGCTCATCTGGAAAACACAAAACTCAGAGTCAGACAGTTTCTACAAACCATTCCAGGTGGCTGAATTATCCAATAAAACCTCACTGAACACTGGAGTCTTTCTACTGCTATCAAGAGTAAAGCTTACCTAGTTAACTGTCGACGTTGTTCAATTAAAAAAAGAATACTTCCTGACACTACACACACTCAAACAGGAAATATGACAAGCCTGTATCTAATCTGTTGCCAATGTGAAAAATAACCAGAAAATAAAACACACATCATAACAATACACTGATGAAATATGAATTAAACAATGTTTCAAAGCAAGCCAAAACCAAGTATCATTTTGTCAAACAAAGTGATATTATGAATGATGAAATGAGAGTTTTAAGGATGATGATGAAGGCAGAGTCAACGGTTTGGTTACTTGTGTGTTTTTTAAATGCATATGATCTCAAATCCTTTTGTCACTCAATTCTCTGTCTCCTTTCAGAACAAAAGGACACTGGTGAGAGATACAGAGCCGTGTTGTGGCTTCTGACTATAGAAAGAAGATCCTCCTGGATAGTAAAAGAGTTACTACAAAAAAATGCCTGATGTGATTAGTGTCTCTACATTGTTGACAAACGTTTCAAGTTCAAAGGGATTGAGCCTTCATCATAATTAGGCTAAACCATGGGTGGGTTTCAATAATCTCATGAGGCTTAACTCCACCACTGTTACATCCAAATCCTTCACGAGAGCCTAATCGTTGCCAGTTGTGAGTTTGATCTCACTCAATTCTGGATCACTGAACAAAGAAGACATGAAAGGAGCTACATTAGAGTATTGAGCCACACCCCATGTCTCCCTGTCAGTCAGGGCCACATGCTGACAGGGCCCCAAAAAAAGAAGATAGAGAGACTTCTGGGTGAGACAGGGGAGGAATGAATGAGGGGAAGATTTGGAGAAGAGATGAAGAATAACGACTGATGGCCAGGCATCAGGCCCTTTAAACCAGAAGCAGCATGTCACACAGGCACAGGCTCACCAACGTGCACGCTCATGACCATGTTTACGCTCATGGGCAGAGAAGGGCCATATTCATTCACCAGAGCCCATTAAATCTAGTTTTTGAGTTAGATAATATTGAGTGATGGCATTCTTCCTCCATTACCCAAGCTCATGTTTCCTTCCATCCCAATCATTCATCCCAAATCCATTTTTTTTATTTTCCTCAACTGCCACCCATAAAATCACCCCTCCTTCCATGCATCCATCCCTCCTTCTCTCTCACTTTCTCTCAGTATGAATATGGCCCAGTGAGTTAGGGATGCACATGCGTCAATGGCTCTCTGTCACACAGTAAACCTCCTAAACCTCCTCTGGTCTAGACAGGTTTGACCACGATGCTGATTCAGGAAGCGTTAGAACAGCGCAGGGACAATGTTAGGGGAAGAGCTGCAGCTCTTCTGTGCAGCAGGATGAGCTGGGGGGGGAAGCCAGGCCAGGTTTCGATCGGGTGGGGTGGGGACACAGCGCATGCTCAACTCAGCCCAGCACACACTCACACAGTTTAGAGAGTGGAGAATGGCAGCTCACTGAATTGATCAATGTTCAGTGTAACACTGTCGGACTGGCTTTTGTTGAATTTCTTTGTTGATATAGATATGAAGCCTAGCTGTTCTCAAGACTTCAGTGTTGGGTGCATGCTATGAGGGCACAAGCCTCACTCCAGTGAGCTGCCATTACTCCTGTGGGTGAGAGCAGTAAAAGGGGGGAAATACCTGCAGTGACACTATTCCAGTCTAGCAGTTTGTATGAGCGAGTGTTACCCAAGGCTGGGCCAGAACACACCGTTAGTACAGAAAAGAGAGAAAAATAAAAGAGAGAGTCCAACAAACAAGCACAGCACAACAGCAGCACTCCACAATCACTATGCAAAGACAGACAGAACTCACAGTCACTAGAAAAAGTACTACAAACTATATTATGGCCTTCTAATACAATCTAGAAAGAAGATGACTGACAAAAAAGAAATTGAAAATAGCAAAGAAAATTGGAGAAGAGAAGCTATAATTAAAAAAAGGAGCATGCAGCATCAGTCTAAGTCAGGTTTACCTCCACTCCCTGTGGAGTTAACAGTTGGTATACATTCAGGGTTTCTGTATATATGTTTGAGGTGAAACAAACTTAGAAAAGTTGATGTTTTTACTTTTTAAATTGTTGCCAATCATTGCCAAAACTAGTAGATGGTTCGCATCATCTGCATGCTTGTGCATCCTTGTGCATGATACAAACAAAAACAGGCCACAACTTGTAAAACTATAGCTACCTGTGGTCAAAAACTCCACAGGGTGCCTTATAGGCTCTGTAGTAATTATAGTCAAGACATAGTGACATTGAGCAGAGCTGTTAAACCTGCAATTTTGGATCAGCAAAAACCTTAAGAAAACTATTCTGTTTACACTAGTTAGTTAAAGAGATATACTGTAGGCCAAGTTATTATATGCATAGACCTTCTTGAAGATTATCAGTACAGTGTTTTTTGGATATCTTATATTAGTTTCCCTGAACATCTCTAAATAGAAAAGGCTTATTGTAACACAGCCAACATTAATGAGCGCTCCCTTGTCCCTACATTTTCAAACAACCTAGAGTCAAAGTTGTAAAAGACCATTAAACTAGCAAGGGTATTATTTACTGAAGCTACCAAGATCTTTAACAGGCAGGTACTTGCCTAAGGGCAAGTGTCTTATTTGAATGATGATTTCAACATAGAGTTAAGAATCTTATTTGATCATTGATGAGCACATTTTAAAAACACCACAGTACCTCACCACAGCGCCACCTGCAGCCAACAACACCAGACAACAGAAGCAGCAGGCGACAGAATGGAGCCATGCAACAGTACTGCACCTCACCTCCAGAGAGCAGCACCTCAGCACACAATTAACACAGCGACACACACACAGACACACTCACTCACAGCCATCACATGACCAGAACAGACTTTACATACCACAAAGCCAGTCAGTCAATCACAAGGTGAAAGTTGCCCCTATCCATACAACGGGTTTGACACAACCAATGAAGAGCCTGTGCTAACTTAATTTCCATCAAAATGCTACAGCCTAAAAGTGTGACCAGGAACAGCTTTCACCTGCTTTGGAACAGAACTGAAGTCTTTCAACATAATTGTTCTAAACAACCAAACTGATTGGGACTAGGACACAGAACGAGATAGTAATGGGAAGCATTACAGCCAGTTGCAACAGCACACTCACACGATAATGTAGGTCAATGGAGGAGCTCACTCGTATCGCTCGGACGACAATGGACATTAGAAAGCGATGTGCCTATGAGCGCTGCACTCACCAGGGTTGTGTATACGGTCCAATAGTTTGACAGAACGAGCGCTGACCACTCCACCGACATGAACCAGAAAGCCAGGAGGGAACGACGTCAAGGTGAAAAAGGGGAACTCCTGCAGATAGAAAACAGTTGTGTCACTTACAGTAAGGGAGAACACACTCTGGACTTGCCAAAGTATCTTTTTACTAATCATCAGTCACTGCTCATTGGTTCTAAAACTTAATCAGATTGTATTGTTATTCAGAAGTATATATCTTAGTGAAAACATTTGTTAATCTAATATTTGTATTGGGGCTAAAGGTGCAAGAATACATATATTTAAATGTTTAAATTTGTCTCTCAAGGCATATAGTAAAAATGTATTGATTACAAGAAACATGTTTTTCCCTGTATCTTTGACTGGTGTGTGTGTAGGCTTAAAACTATTGTTGTGTGAGGAATAGTGCCAACATGCAGCAAGGGTTGAGTTTGATGGTGTCTCCCCCATGCAAGGTTTACCCCTGAGTAGTCCCTCACTCGATCCATTCCAGGCTACACTTGTAGACAAACATTTCAAATAGATCTGGAAGTGATTGAATTTTTATTTATTTTTTTACTATGAAGCCTACATACTGTATTTGGTACCACTGATTCAGTGATCCATTCAATCCTTGCAAATCTATATAAATGAATCAATTAGGTTTGGAGTTGAAAGTGAAGGACAAACACACACACAAGGTCCTGGCTGAAGGTATTTACATGCTATACTGTCCATTAACATGACAGTTGGTATTTTGCTTCCAGTCAAATCATTCTAATCCATGCACTCACTCACGAAAGGAGCTGGAAATACTTGTACCGCCTGCTAGCCTCTTTGTATAGTTTGAAGTAATGACCACCTTTAAAGAAAATCTGAGGGACGTCCAAACATGCATGTAGATGTGATGAATGGCTTTGGTGGGAACAATCAGGTGGGACCACAGATAAGCTTGTTTCTTGTCCGGTACTCCAGCAAGGGAGATAGCTACTACTTTAACTGAGAACTCCTCCCACTCGGAGCAAGGAGGCAAGAATGAGGATGAGGTGAGCGTGCTCATTCCCATTGTTGACACAGGATAACCAAATCAGACTCAGGAAAATAATTCAGAAAGGAGGGGAGGTGTTTGACATGAGTATCCAGAAGGCACACACACGCACAGTCACGCAACCCTTCAAACTTGAAGGGAACACAACTCCTAGCCTCCGAGCCCTCCGGCAAACATGTCTGTGAATCTTTTAGAGTGTGCCGATGGGGGCCGAGCAAATACAAAAGCAGGGGTCACACAAGGACCACCCGCCATGCCCCAGCCTGCCACTCTGAGATCTACAGACAGCACAGGAGGGACAGGTTAGGAGTTGATCAGACGTGGTGGTGGTGGCCATCAGTTGGTCAGGGTGTTAGGGGAAAGGTGGAGAGAGAGGAAGTGCCACACTGATGGGACATACCCTGGCGTTTAACAATAACCCAGAGGAGGACGCTCCCTGAGTAGCACAAATGGTCAAAAGGACAAAGAAAGGGAACATTACTTGCTCTTACACAGACCCACTCCCCATTAAACACGTACATGTAAATTAGTGATCTTTCACAAAAAATGCAGGTGTGAAAAAAGTGTTTGACACTGTGAGACATCTGAGACTAAAACACTTAATGCAAACTAGTTTTCAAAGCATCTCATAAATGCTAAGTCTAGCTCACTACTTTGACTATGAAGTGTTTATTTCTTATGTGTTTCATTTCAGTGATGTAGCCAGTCAATCAAGGCCCAGTCTGAAACAAAACAGTGTCTGTGAAATTCATGAAACTTAAATCGTGCAGGGTAGTTCAGTCTCAAATGTCTGCAATTTAGTTTGTAAATACATGTTTGAGAATATGTTGAGTTGAGTCATCGTACCCTCTGCTCAAGAGCCGTCTGCGTCTGCTGTCTGAGCAGGGTCTTCAGAGGCCCCGCCTCCTTCCCGGCGCTACCTCCATTGCCCATTCCTGATCATAGAGAGGAGTCCAGCTTCAGTTGTTGTTACTTGAAACACACACATCAATGCACTAAAAATTCAAACTGTCAGTTGATTATTTACATTGCAGCATTAAGTTATTCTGACAAACCAAGTAAAAGCAACAGCTGACAGAACACCCTAGACAGAAGACAGTAAACAAACCTGCTTTACCCTCATGCTAAGATTACCCTACTCTTAAAATGTTTTCCTATTCATATATTAATACTGAGCCTAGAATAAGGTATGCCTGATAAATACATCAAACCACATGCTGGAGTAGGACTTTAAGTTAGTCAGTAGTGTTGTGTCACAATAAGCTCTGGGCAGTTGCACCATGCATGGTTCCTTTGTTTCGGATAACACCAAGTCAATCTGAACAGTTCTGCTGTTGACCCAATATACAAGAGAGGCGCCAACACTGTCATGAGGTTCCGTTACTTTGTGACACACAGCGGTCCTACTATACCGGAGGCTGCCAGCAGCAGGTCCTCTGTGAAGGACACGCTTTTTCTCAGCAAGACAGTGTCTGAGTGGACGCTGAAGGGAGGGGGCGGGGTGCTGGCTCTATGAGCAGAGTTGTGACCACAGATCACTGAGCCAGAACCAGAAAGGGACAGAGTGTCTGTGGAGAGGGTGGGGGAGCTGGGGCACAGGAAGATCCCAGGCCTGCTTCTCACTGGCTTCACTATCCAGCAGAAAAACAGATGGAGGGTGCACAGAGAAACACAGATATATTCAGAATGGCAGACAGGCAGAGCAAAAAAGGAGAGGAGTCAAAAACACAACAACAAGGAGGGGGGTAAGGACGTGACGGGGAGAAAAGGGCGGTAGCGTAGAGAAAGAATAAACTGACAGACTAAATGTATCATTTTGTTTCACTTCATTTGCTAAGCGCAATGCTCAACAAAGGAAGTGTTCTCGTTAGCCAGGTGCAGAGAATATGAGAATTATATGACAGAGCAGATGAAATATGATAAGAAAGGAAAGGAGAGGAAACAATGAGGAGGGATGTTGACTTGGGGGACTGCTGGTCGCCACCTGAGGGGTCCGGGGAGCGGCTCTGGTAACAAGGATCTTCAGGCTAAACAGTCGATTACAGCTGAACTGTGTTAATGAATATGTCCTTGAGGGCAGGGTTTCACTAAACTTACCTTTTCTTCAATGATTAACCATAATGGCTGCTAATGAAGAAGTGACCTTAGATCAGCAAACAGCCCCTCATGGGACACAATGCTTCTACAACAACAACAACAACAACAACAAGGGGGGATATGGTGTGTCTTCACAAAATTAAGCACATTTTAAAGAAATCGTGATTATTTTTGTTCAATAGTGGGGGAAAAAGAAGACACACCAAGCCACTCAGAAGGGAAAGGATGGGACATGACATGTTTTATTTATTATAAAATAATTTTAACAGAACCATGTAAAACATAAAATAAACAAAACATTGAAAAAAAAAATACCACCATAGTAGCACCACAATGAGGTGAGGGAGAATGGAGGGGTTAGAATGGGAGTAGAAGATGGGGCCACGTGTCCTTACCCGTCTTGGGCGTCAAACTGAGGTCTGTGTCTGATGATGAGGACTGGCGGCTGCATGGCTTGGAGGGAGAGAAGGGGGGAGGGGAGGAGGAGGAGGTGGTGGGGAGGGCTCTGAAAGGGGTTGACGGGCCGGAGGACAGGGTCAGGTCCTCAGCAAATACCGGCCTGCCAGGAGAACATGACACACACACACACGTCAGTCACCACCTCACCCTCTGAGTGTGTGGGTGTGTGTATACAAAGGACTGGGTCATCGTTGCGGTTTTTTGGGGAGGTTTCTGTGTTAATGTATGATTTGTTAGTATTGGGTGAGGCGTGTTTGAGGTGCTACAGATGGTTGGAGAAGAAAAAATAAAGCAAGCATGGAAAGCAAAAACACAAACATACACAAACATTAAACTAAAGAAAGCACTATGGCAAAACACAAGAAGGTGAGATTGGATAGAGGATGAGGAGCTGAAGCATGTGTCCCAGTGGAGGGAAGAAAAGGTCAGGTGACTGTGGAGAGATCAGAGGCCCTTGCAGAAGGATGCAACGGGAAACCTGCCCACCCTCTACCGTGGGGAAATGACACTGGGAAGAGGGCTTTCAGCCTAGTATGAAAGTTTGGGCTTGCTATAAAGAAGGTAAAGGGTCTGTCTTCATTCTTTGTCTTGATATCTCAGTCTACAGAATGGCTTTATCACTACTATTGGACTGTCAACCTACCAAACTCCAGCAAAAATATATTCACTTTTCTCCTTTCGTATTACTTCTCTTTGTATTTAAAACTTTGTGTCTTTCTTTTGTATGATTTCCTTCCCTGCCTCTGCGTACCAGTGAAGATGAGTGTGGGGACAGAGACAGAGAAGTTCTGGGACAGTCTCTGGGAGCTGCAGGCCGAATGCACTGGGCTGTTGTGGGTGGAGCGGCATCCGTGGGCAAGGGGAGACCTGGGCCAATCAGCACGCAGAGGGAGAAGACAGAGGAGCGATTTGGACACAAGCAGTGAGAAACGTCCCAATCCAAATGTAGCCAGAGAGCCAGAGAGGGAGAAAGAGATGCACACAAGAACCAACACCACAACATTGCAATAGAGTGTAAAAGGAGACGAAAAGAAAAAAAAACGTTTGTTTTCACGCTCTCTCTATGTCCCTGTTATTCTATTTAAAGCCTAATGAAAGCAGCAAGGAACTCAATAGCCCTCAGATAAAGATCTCAGTCTCACACAAACATGCACAACAGGGATGCAAACACAAAATAAAACAAGTCCAAAACAGGCACGGGGACAGCAGTAAAAGGTCTGTGACTAACGATCATTTTCACTATATTTAATCTTTATAATTGACTAAATGTATAGTTAATCTTTTGCTGTATGAATTTTCAGAAAATAATACAAATGTTCATCCCTGATACCCAGAGTCCAAGGTGCTGTTATTAAATGCCTTGTTTAGCCAGTACATAATCATAGGTTTCCAATGAAGGACATTTTCGTATTTAAAAAAGGCTGAAAACTGCATTTTCTGCATGAAAAAGGTATTAAAATGGATACAACGTTTTTAGAAATGTATCCCAAAAAAACTGACAGAAAGTTGAAGAGTGGAGAGACCTTTGCAGAAACCACCAAAAGATGTTTACATGCCTAATATACGAAATCTCATGTGCACTGGCAAAGCTATATATGTCATGCATACAAAAAAGTAAACATGCACTCAACTCTAGATAAGCTTACAGTAATTGGATGAAATCACAAGCTAACCACTCAGGATGAGGACAACAGAACAAAGTGAAGGAGCTTGATTTGAAAGCTAGATACTCACAAAAAGACGCAGCACTAAAACATGCAGAAGCAGAAAGTAATGCCACAGCTGTCTATCGAGCAGACAAGGGCGGGGGCGTTGAGGGAGGATGAATGTGTACACTCTACATGTGTGTGTCTCAGGATATGTTGTGTGCTGTTAGTTTTCATAGTACAATACATATGACACAATAAACAAACAACTACAAACAGGAATCAAAGATTCTGAGACACACACAGGAGTAACTGCTATACACACACTAGCATTCACTACCTTTTATCCACACGCTCTCCCTCTCATGCACACACCATTCTTCTTTCCCCATTCTCACACGCTCGATTTGCAGACAAACTTGCACATTAGAAGAGGCAGGGTCCATGCTTGTGTTGATGTTTCATACTCACTCCTTTCCATCCTTAGAAGGGGAATTGCAGGCATTGGAAGGCGGGGCTGTGTTAGGGTGCATATGTGTGTTGGAGTTAGGGGCGCTTCCAGAGCTGAGTTTTTCCAGTGTGCAGGCGGTACCTATGGCCCGGACCACCAGGCCTGACTCTCCCTCCAGGTCAAAACACTGCAAATAGCCCACCACTGCATTTCCGCCCATCTCCAGTACCTTAAGCCCTATTTTCCTCTGTAGCTCTCCTAAATAAGGAGTAAAACACAGCCATATTAACAAGAGGCAGAACAGGAACGACCGCATTTTTCTTTCTCCACGCCAAAATGAAAAACGGATCACTGGGAATGTTCTTACCGGACATGAGAGAGATGAGCCTCTGACGGGCCTCATTGGAGGCCCGAGGAGTTCTGATACGGTCGATCCACTGGTACTCCGGATCTTCATTCACCACAAGTTCCTCCACAAACCCGTGTACCATCGCTGCCTTGTAGCACCGTGGAATGGATGAGGCTACGATACACAATTAGACAAACGCCACATAGAATGAAAAGATTTTAAATTGAGAATAGTTTATCTAAACTTTCCTATAGCTATAATTCCACTTGTAGCACATAAAGAGTGATCATTCCTGGTTTAACTATACACTATTGGCAGTGATAAAACCTGTATTTTTGTTCATATTCGAAATGAAACCCAAACTACATTTTGTCAATCTGCATTGCTAGCACACAAATTATTTTGTATAAGGTATTTTAACTGTAAACAAACAATTGTGAACAGAAAGTCAAGTCAGACTTACTGCAGAAGAACTTGACCCCACAGGACGACTGTCTGAAGCGGTTCAAATCATTGAAAAGCTCCACTTTGACGAGAACATTAATCTCACCTCGAATACCTAATAACAAACAATAGAAATAGAAATTATAATAAAGAACGGTAAATATTGAAAGTTTTGCAATTATCATAGTCAGATGAGTTTCCTGTTGTACCGTGGATTGTATCATAGATAGGGAACCAGCCAGAGATGACAGAGGCAGCCTCACTGCACAGCAGCGGGTCAATGTCAATGTAAACTTTCCCTATGGCATCATTAGCACTGTAAGTATCGTGGTCCAACACTGTGACCTGCAATGGCTCATCCTGCAAGTCCTCATCATCAACCTACAAATCAAGAGAGGGAAAGAATAAAAAAGAGCAGAAAAGAGTAAATTCTAAAATGTAATGAATGTATATTGTGTGGTGTATTAAAGGCACACTATCACTTCCTGCAATGGAAAAGAGAAGCTCATAGGCCTTTTACCTCAAATTTGAACCATTCTGAGTTCCACTGTGGGTTGAGGGATTTGGGACAGACATCGGTTTTAAAAGTTGTGTTTCCAAACTTAACCTGAGAAATGAAAGACAAAAGACAAGAAGTTTCTTTGATTAATAGTGAGATACAGACCATACTGAACCCAAGAGTAAAATGTATGTTGTCACAGGTGTAAATGGTTTCAGTAAAGCAAACTAAAAGTCGTGATCTGCAGGCTTCACTCACCTCTACAAAAGCATCAGTAAGGTCACTGGCTCTGTCCATCACAGGCAAGTGGCGCCCTGCCACAATTTTGGCCTTCAGTTTCCCAGGCATGATTCACTTTATAGTTGAACTGTAAACAAAATAATAATAATAATTCGTGTTTCAATGGTGTTCTGGACAAACAGTTATCAACGCTGCTGTCACTATCAACAGGGAACAGAGTGGAAAACTTAACAACATAGCCATTTGTTGTTGACAGTTTGGACAGCCCCTTATTTAACATACATGTCCATGAGCTAATAAGCTAGCTTACTTAGCTAAATGTAACGTTTCTTGTCTAACTCCAAATGGTTTTATCAACTTGCTTCAAATATATCTATTGAACTAACATTTATAAACAAGACATTAACTGTCAGTTAGCTAGATTGTGTTAGCAAGAAAATCCACTTAGGGTAACTGCATTGCAGTCAATCTGCTTAGCTCTACCTGGATCGGCCATGTTTCAACAATAATACTGCAAAGCCCATGTACTAATAATATGACTTTGCTAATACAAGTTTAAACAGTATCATCCTTACCAGTGCTAGACTATGAACTGTCAATGTGGACCTTATTGTTGTCATTACTGTTGACAGCCAACCACTCGTCTGACCTCCGTTTATCTCCCATAACACGACACGTTAAATCGGTTGCTAGTACACCAGGCAGGAGAGTGTCGTTTGAATAATATTCAGTTGAAATTACAGTTTATAAATGTACGGTCCACGAAAGGACCGACTAATCAATTAATTACACCTATCAGTGATTAGCGCGTAAAGCTAACTGCTAGCTTCATGAGGGTCCAGCTCATGATGAATGAGTTTCCACCACGGGTTACTGTGTGCTGCCTTCAGGTACACCCCGTATACTCGTTCTTCCGTTCAAACGCTAAAAAAACAGAAACGAAATTAGCCTAAACAACAATTACGTTCACTATAAGCACAAATAAGAATAAAATAGAAAAATTAATACACTTAGCAGCACTGTGCGTAGATGTAGGCTTTTCGTGGTGTTTTAAGTAGCTACGTACACACAAAAAAACAATATAACGAAGTTACCTAAAGGCATCATTAGGGTTCGTCTTGGACATGCGCAGTGAAGGTCCTCTTCCTCTAAACCAGGGGTGGGGAACCTCCGGCCCCCGGGCCGTATACGGCCCGCGAGATTCTGGAAGTAGACGTAGTTCTGCCCTTTTCCAGCTAAAATGAAGAAGCATAATACTTGAAAAGAATATATATATATATATATATATATATATATATATATATATATATATATATATACATTGGCGTTTTTATATGTACAAAAGTGGTGGTGCACAAAAAACGTAGATGTCTATATATAAGCTTCTGCAGTGAGGTTCATGGCTGGTGAGGCACTGACACTTCAGGTTTACAAATATTATATTTTGACCTAAATCAAAATATAATATTATTTTCAAAAGCTTTTTTAGTCTGAAGCTTCGATTAATTTTAAACAGACAGTTCAACAAAAGGATACCCAAAAAATGTAATTTTATCATGTAAATATTGAATTGTTCTCTCTTAGTAAGAGCTACGGTGGCCGGCAGGTGCAAACGCGGAACAACGGCCCAAAACGCATACATTAGCAGGAAACACCTGCAAATAATGAAATGAAAAACAAACAAACCCTGAAAACAAATACAACAGAAAAACGCTGCATTTACAGAAATTATGCAAACTAAATACAACACACAAACCCCGAAAACAAACGCAACAAAAAAACGCTGCACGATATGCAAAGTCCAAAGCACATACAAAAAAAAAACATTCCGGAAGTGCTCCAGGCCTCTAAGGGGCGCGCTACGTGGAACAGATTGATGTCTGACCAGACATAGAGAGAACGAACAAGAGTGATGGAAATNAGCAATGAGATTTCTCCATAGGATTTTAGAAAATAGCTCAAAATAAGATCTGTGGGAAACGTACCTGTTAGATAAATGCACGTTTTGTTCAGCCGGATAATATCCACATGTCTACCCTACTTTTATAATTTTCGATAGACTTTTGAGAATACAAGAGGATAAGGAGGACTTTTACAAACAAGTAATAGAGATTCAAGTCCAGAAGGATAGCCAAATGGACCTCATCTTCAAGTCAAGGTAAGGCCGCAATTTGATTGAAAATGGGATCTTACTAAGAGAGAACAATTCGATATTTAAATGATTAAATTACATTTTTTGGGTATCCTTTTGTTGAACTGTCTGTTTAAAATTAATCGAAGCTTCAGACAAAAAAAGCTTTTGAAAATAATATTATATTTTGATTTAGGTCAAAATATTATATTTGTAAACCTGAAGAGTCAGTGCCAGTGCCTCACCAGCCATGAACCTGACTGCAGAAGCTTATATATAGACATCTAAGTTTTCTGTGCCCCACCACTTTTGTACATAACGCCACTGTGTAGCATGACCAGTCGTGTCCACATCCGGTCTCCTACATCCTGTTAGCTCTATCACAATAAAAGCATAACAGCTAACACCACATCTCCCTTTCTTAAGAAAACAGAACAGAACTGTCACATTTATATACTGTGACTCAGAAAATGCAAAATCAGGTGANATATACAGTGGCGACTGGTCATTAGGGGCAGGTGGAGCACAGCCCCACCTAGTGTCAGCGGAAAGTATTAAAAATATTTTTTGCATTTTTTTGTAATCATTATTTTTAATACTTTCCGCTGACACTAGGTGGGGCTGTGCTCCACCTGCCCCTAATGACCAGTCGCCACTGTATATATATATATATATATACAGGGGTGCACATAAGTGGTACGAAGGTACGCATGCGCGGCAACAATCTGAAATGCGTACCGTCACTTGTGTCACAAAGCGCATTTGCGTACCGATGTATATGTGAAGCTTTTCCATAA